ACTCTTTCCTGACCACGGATTCAGGAAAATAATTCATTTATGTGGAGCAAAGATGAAAAACAAAAACTCACCTCTTTAGTCGACAGTCTTTTACGTGGAGGGGACATTTTCAGGGATTTGCATTCGTTTCTGCCTCTTAGATGAACCTGAAAACACACACACACAGAGAGATTTATGTAAAATTAAAGCTACCTTTAAATAGCCGAGGATGAGCTGGAGCAGTTCGAGCAGCGTGACCTTAATCTGCATAAAAACTCACCATTACATTTCTACATCACATTTTTAGCTTGCAGGTAATTTTCTACTTTATTTAACGTCATTTTATGAACCTGCATTTTAACCCAATATGAAGCTTTAGGTGATTTTTTTTAGCCATTTATTATAAGTTTTTTGAAAATAAAATGCTATTTTTTTGGGCTTACTTTAAGTGAATTTCTGTCAAAATTAGATGAACAACGGTGAGAAAAAATGAATAACTTTTTGCATCTACTTGATGATGATATTTGTTGTGATTATACCTTGTATTATTTTAGTAAACAGCAAATTATTTTACATTATTTTAATATTGCGTTCAAATTATTTTTACAAAATTGACCACTTTTCACGATCTAACGTTTAAACCAAACATGTATTTACATGTACGCCGGCGCCGATCGCGGCCTAAGCGGAGGCCAGAGACAAACAGTACAGTATCTGTTCAGATTAGAGAGCTCAGCCGTCCCGTCTCTGTGTAATTAAGAAGAGACGAGGAGAGGAGAGGAGGGAGAAGGAGATAAAGGGATAGAGGAAAGTGGTATTAAAATAAACCAACACGCAGCAGCAGCAGCAGGGATTGTGTGTAATGACAGGGTGTCCAGCGGTCAGTGTATTTGTGTACATGATGAGAGTGTGTGAGTCCAGGAGCAACAGCAGGGAGGATGTGAGGAGTTCTGCTCGGGATGCTGTGGTTTGTCCTGCAGAGTTCAGGACCTTTATAAAGTCAACGGGGGCAGAAAGTGGACCAGGGCAGGAATGTGGTGGTAAAAACCGAGAAGTATAACAACAGAGGAGATAAAAGTATTTTATGCAGGCACATATTTGTAACTAGAAGAATTGGAAGCAATTGAAGATTGTTGTTTTGGTGGGGAGTTTTTTTACACATTAGTTTTCATATAATTGCACTTAATGAATGTATAAATCTAGACTAAATAATATATAAATTCACATTATTGTAATGGCATAACTAACTGTGAAAAGTCAGGCTACAAAACATAAGATTAAAGAAGGCTATTATAAGATTTAAAAAATGCTAAAAGAATAAAAAATAAAATAAAAAGAAAGAAAAGCGAATGTTACAAACCAGTACATATTTAAAAGGCCACAAATAGCTAATATTTGAAAGAAATGAAACAATAGTATTTAGCTTTTTTTCAGCTAACAAATAGCTACTTTTGTTGTATTTTAGTATCAAAGCTCTTTAAGAAGAGAGACGGGTTGAGATTTCCCTGGCATGGGTTTAGGATTTACCATCTGGATACACCTTTGTACTCACTCACATTATCCCTGCAACACACACACACACACACACACACAAGAGGATTAACTGAAATGATTATGATGAATTAAGAAGATGTAGAGATGATGAGAAAATCTGAAGATTAGAGAAGAAGCTGCTGCTCTCACAGACCCTCTGGTCAGTGTGAAGGTACTTATATTTTAAATTTTAATTGACTTCTACAGCACGTCTTCATGTCTCCATGTCTAATGTAAGAAGGACCTGATTCTTCTGCGGGATAAAATCCTCTGTGTGAGTGTGTGTGTGTGTTTTGATAAGATCAGGACAGTCTGTCTTTCAGGTCATATTAAACTTAATGAGGTATACATGAAAATAAAGAGTATCGACAGAAGCCCTGTTAGCATCGTGACAGGAAATCCATATCCTCTCTGACCACACGGTTCTGTTCATGCCCGCGCACACACAGACTTGCGATCTATTGACACTTGACCTTAAAGAGGAAGCAGAGATGAGTCGAGCGGACGACGTTCTGCTTCTTTGACCCAGTCAATATTCGTCAAATGTTAGACCTGAGTGTGAATGTGAGGCTTCAGACTGATGGTGAGAGGCAGGGAGGGCGTCTTAATACACGGCTGTCTGGGGCAGGGCTTCACCTGACAGTAGTGAGATCTGCTATGTTGTATAATTTGAAAACATTGACAGATCAGAAGAACAGCTTAGGTCGAACAGAAGCATCAGTGAGAAGAGCAGCCAGCCAGACTGCTGCGTCCAGAAACACACACACACACACACACACACACACAGCACAAGCGGATGTGCATTTTTATGCTGTTCACGCAAATGCTCTTGCAAAAACACATAAACAACAGGCCCCCCGAGGGAAAAGTGATTCAGACCAGAAAACTGGGTCTGACGACATTTGAACATGCAAAGTTTCCCACAGTTTCACATTGTATAACAGAGATACATTATTTATGTGGTCTCCAACATTTACAAAACGATTTACTGCCCCAAGGAGTGAAGAAAATACTAATTTTCCCGAGTGACACACACTTTCAGCTTCACAGTTTCTTTCAGAAACACACAAATACAGAGAGAACTGTGCTTCTTTAATGTGCAAACAGTAACACTAAAGGTTATTGAAAAGTTTAAAAAAAGGTCGACTGAAAAAAACCTGATACATACCTTTGTATTGCCCAAAGAAATGTTAGCAAGGTTAGCCAAAAACATTAGCCAAGATAAACATCTTACATCAACTGTAACTGTACTGTAAATACCAAAGAGTTAATTGCAAGAAATAGTTAGGTTTTACTTAGTTTAACTTGCCTAGTAAAGCCGCAGTGCTAATCGTTAGCTAAGAAATAGCAATGAAACTAATGCGTAGCATATAATAATTTAGACAGAATCAAAAATGAGCTAAAATCTGCCAATAAAAACTAAAGGTTATCCCAACAAATGTGAACAAAGTTAAAAAAAAAGGTGTGTTTTCATAATTCTGTAAAACTAGCAGAAACTGACCTCAAAGGTGACGAAAATGCTGACGTTTGACTAAAAAAAAATGCTTGTGTTTGACGTACTTTACTCGCTCCTAAAGTTTCCCTCAAACCTCATGCTTCGTTCAATCATGCAGATTCAACACAAAGCCCCAAAACAACATCGTTCAGCAATGTGGTGTAAATCTCATTAACTGCTGTGATGCACTTCTGGAGCTTGGCTGCGATGATAATTAATGATTTGTGCATCTGCGGATGCTATGTGATCGGTCACACACCCCCGCACACGCACTTGTGAACACACAACAAAAATAACAGCAGCAATGATGAATAGGATGAAGGCAACACTCTCACTGTCAACGTCTGGGAGCAAATATCACGACCCGATTTGGCTTCAAACGAGGCCACCTTACAGCAGAGACTATGTTTGTGTATGTTGCTGTGTGTTTGGACACGGCCGTCTTGAACACTCACACACACACGTCCAGGCCTGAGAGAGAAGTTGTGTTAATTAATGCAGTGAAATCTTCTCATCCAGGCCTGTGTGTCATCACTCAGCCTGGGTTAAATAAATGACTGTGTGGCTGAGAAGATTAATGGCTAACAGGTTTTACATTGACAGCCCTTCTGTATATAAACAACACAGAGGCTTTTATGCAGAAATGGAAGGAGTATGAAGAAAACATTCCTGTTAGAAAAAGACTAACTGAGCTGCAGCAAAAAAAAGTTAAGGACAGAAAAGATCAGCCTTAAAAAATGGCGCAGTTATAGAGGACATTTAGCAGATGATGGGGGGAAAAAATGAAGAAATAACATCAAAATGAACTACATGTAGCCAGAAATATATCACAGAAATATTAGAAATTTATCATAACATTCCATAGGCATCATAACATTGCACAGAAAGCTAAGAGGCTATGCAGAAATAGCCACATTTTAGCACCAGAAAATATTCACGGCTTTGTTTTCTCTATCGTTCCTAACCCTAACCCTGACCCCTGACCTCTAACCCTAACTCATTAGTCTCTCATATCTCTATGTATGTTATCAGCTATCGGTATCAGCCTTTAAAAGCAGGAAGTTATCGGTTATCCATTCCAACTTTAAAGAAAAGTTATCGTACATCCCTAATTTAAACGCAACAGGTCTGAAGTAATAAGTAGGTTAAAGTTGATGAGGAACAGCGAAGGAGAGCGACGAAGGACGAAGTGAAAGTCTGCTCATAAGAGTCTGTTTGTCTCTGTTGACGCCAATGCTCAGCTCCTCACCAGGAGACCGTTAGACCACTGACCCGTTAGTGTTCCACAGCTGGAGCAGAAGAAGGAGAGCATTGTTGACACCAGCGTTAAAATATGGGCACGAAGTGCTGGAGGTCGCATGCCGACGAAACGACAGCAGACACATGGCGACTGACAGACAGAGGGCGCAGTAACGCACTCAAATGTCCTGCCTTGGCGGAGATTCAAAGTGCAGCGCTCAGCAGCCAAATCAATAGAGAGCAGAGCTGATGGTGTGTTTACTTAAGAGCTCAGTGATGGATATGTTTTCCAATGTACAGTAGCTGTGTGTAGTGCTGCCAATTTCAGAGGTGGGCCGTAAAAAAAACCCACAGATTTATGAGGGAACATAATCTGAGCCATTAGGAGTAAATATGCTAAATGAAACGTAGCACAAATTGGGATTTATGTGTGACAGATGTAGAATGTGACTTGTGATATCTCTTTAGAAAATAAGGATTTGGACAAATTCAATTAAAATTCAGGGACCTTCTTAATGTGTATGTTAATTGTTAGTTTGTTGTAGTTTTTGCACCAAAAGTTCATCCCGTGATTAACACTATAAACTGGTCCTCACACTATCTGCTAATCAAACTGGTTCTCTTCCGTACAATGCATAAGCCAAAGGCTAATTGTTAATGAAATGCTCAGTAGCGCCCTCTAATGTGCTGCCTTCATTGAACATAATTGTTCTTCTCTTCCACAGGTTTGACTACCAAGAGCTCCTCCACAACTCCACCTTCTGTTTGGTGCCGAGAGGTCGGCGCCTCGGCTCCTTTCGCTTCCTGGAGTCTCTACAGGTGAGTACAGTATCCACTCTCTGAAGAAGCACAACGACTCTTAATGCCTCTGCGGCTGCACAGGCTGGTACAGGCATTAGGTGACATATGTCAAGAAGCAGGGAAAATGGCTGTTACAACTACGATACTCTGTCAAAAAACGATGAATATCAGTGTCGGTTGAGCGGGTTATGCATTTCTTAGCGTTACCCGTTTCCTGGTCAGTGTAGCAGCTTGAGCACATTATGATGCCTGAATATTTGAGGGGGTTTGTAATGTCTCTATTGCCGGTGTAAAAATACCCACACAACAACCATTAAAAGGTATTAACTGCACCATTTGCCTCCACATACCAGCTGCAGAAGAACCGACGTCCAGGAACGAGTCGCATCTGAGTCACTTCCAGTTCATATACACAGTCAAACGGGCCTGAAAGTACACAGGAAACAGAAGGTTTATTTCCACCACTGTGGTTTATGCAGTCTTTTTGGGTTACTGACACCTAAATGCTCACATCTGTAAGTGTTTTTCCACCTAATCTTCTGCAAATCGCACCATAAAGGTTTTTATTTGCCATTTGCAGAACGGGGCCATTAACGCACTTATACAAACACTGAAATCACCCGCTGTAAGTGGAAACAATGAAAAGAAACATACACACACTCAGCAGAGTGAGTGAGCGAGCGAGCGAGTGAGTGAGGCAGCAGAGGTTCAGAGCAGACAATGGGCCTCAGGCTAGGCCCCGCCAC